AATTTGCCTCTCAGTGTGTTTGTTATCTGTGTAGAGGAATGCATTTGACTTTTAGGTATCGACTTTGTGTCCTGCTATGCTACTGAATTTCTGTATTAATTCTAGTAGCTTCTTGGTGGAGTTTCTTGGGTATTCCAAGTAAAGTATCATGTCATCTGCAAATATGATCATTTAACTTTTTATTCACCTATTCTTATTCCTTTTATTTCTTTCTCTTGGCTAATGGCTATAGCTAATGCTTTTGTAACTGTATTGAATAAGAGTGGTGATAGAGCACATTCTTGCCTTGTCCCACTTCTAAGAGTAAAAGATTTCAGTTTTTCCCCATTCAGAATTATGTTAGCAATTGACTTTTCTTAAATGGCTTTTACCAGATTGAAGTAGAGGCCATCTATTCCAATTTTCTGTAGGACTTTGAACATGACTCAGTGTTGGGCTTTGTCAAAGCCTTTACTACATTAATGGAGATGATCAGGTAGTTTTCAGTTTTTGCTCTATTGATATAGCGTATTACATTTATTGATTATTGAATATTGATCCATCTCTGCATCCCTGGAGTGAATCAAACCTGGTCATGGTGTATGATCTTCTTGTCAATTCTATTTGCTGGTATTTTATTGAGGATTTTGGCATCTATGGTCATGCAGGAGATTGGCCTGTAGTTCTTTTGCTTAGTTGTATCATTCCCTGGTTTTGGCATCAGTATAATACTTGCCTGCAAGAATTATTTTAGGAGGATTACTTCCTTCTCAATTTCATTGAAGAGTTTGAGGATTATAGGGACTATATCTTCTGTAAATTTATTGTAGAATTCAGCTGTAAATCCATCTGGACGTGGACTTTTCTTTGTCAGTAGGTTTTTTATTACATCTTGTATTTCAGTGGCTGTTAGTGGGCTATTGAGAGTGGTTTTACCTTGTCAATTCAGTTTTTGTTATTTGTACCTTTCTAGGAATCTGTCCATTTCTTCTGTGTCTTCTATTCTGTGAGAGTAAAGATTCTCAAAGTAGCTATTGATACTTTTCTGAATTTCCTCTAGGTCTGTGGTATTTACACCCTTATCATTCCTTATTGCTTGTATTTGAATTTTTTCTTTTCTCTTTTTGATGAGGTTGGCTAGGGGCTTATCGATTTTATTTAATGTTTCAAAGAACCAGGTTTTTGTTTCGTTAATTCTTTGAATGGTTTTCTTCGTCTCAATTGAATTAATTTTTGCTCTAATCTTTATGATTTCTTCCTGTGTATGGGCTCTGGGTTTGATTTGATCTTCCTTTTCTAGTTGTTGAAGGTGGAGCATTAGGATATTTATTTGTTCGCATTCTGTTTTCTTAGTGCGTGAGTTCGCAGCTATGAATTTCCCTCTGAGAACTGTTTTCATTGTATCCCATATATTCCGGTAAGTTATGCTTGAATTTTCATTGAATTGTATATATTGTTGAATTTCTTTGTAATTTCATCTTGGCCCATTTGTTACTGAGGAGGATGCTGTTTAATTATCTTGTATTTAGGGTGTTTTTCTGGTTTCTTTTGTCATTTATTTCCAGTTTCATTGCACTGTGGTCAGATAGTATGCATGGGATAATTTCTGTGTTCTTACATATACTTAAGCATGACCGATGGACCAGTGGGTGGTCTATTTTAGAAAATGACCCATGTGCAGCT